AGACGAGTACGAGAGAGTCGAGAGAGAGAGACGAGAGAGAGAGAGAGAGAGAGAGAGAGAGAGAGAGAGAGAGAGAGAGAGAGAGAGAGAGAGAGAGAGAGAGAGAGAGAGAGAGAGAGAGAGAGAGAGAGAGAGAGAGAGAGAGAGAGAGAGAGAGAGAGAGAGAGAGAGAGAGAGAGAGAGAGAGAGAGAGAGAGAGAGAGAGAGAGAGAGAGAGAGAGAGAGAGAGAGAGAGAGAGAGAGAAACACAAGCAAGACAGAGCAAAACTAACCCATGGTTCGACATATTCCTTTTCCCGCTTTTCGTCAACGTCCCTCTTAACATCCACTAATTGGCTCCCATCTGCAGATTCAAGAGTCAGAAAGTAGCATACGGAGAGGAATAATTATATTTGCTCCATAGATGGTTTTCTCATTCAGAAGTAACAAAAGATAATCTTACCATCAAATGCATGACCTATCTCTTTGGGTTTACTGCTACTGCCACCTTTGGAATAACTAGATGAACTTGAAAAATTGGCTGCATTTCCATATCCAAATGCAACTTGAACAGGTGCCGCTGTAAATTGTGAATCTGAGATGAGCCAAGCATAAACATCTATGGAGGAATATCCACAACATTATTTATTTGTTTTCTTTTTATCGTTATTTAATTTGTTGGACGTTATATTTATTTCCCTAGGAAAACCTTATATTCTATGTTAAAAAGACAGCCATCCAGGTGGCTGGGAGGCCTCACGACCCTGCACTAGGACTCTTCAGCCCAATGCAGCATGGTGACCCTGGGCGGCAAACTTGTTGCCCTGGGCCCTATTGGCAAGGCCTGAAATTGGGCCTTGCCAAAAGGGAAAAAATGCCCTTGCCCCACTTTGGAAAGGGGGAAATTGTATTTGGGGGCATTTTGGGCCCCAAAATCCTAAACAACGTTCAATAAGCCGGAGGCGGCCGCCTAGGTTGGGCGGGGGGACGGGGCTGGGCCGCCTAGGCAGGCGCTTAGACCCAAAAAATCCGGTGATTTTTTTTAAAAAATAATTTGGATCCCCCACACCTCCCCCCATTTTATGATATATAAAGTTGTCTGTTTTATTATTTAATAAGTAAGTTTTGTATTAATATATTGTTAGGGTGCCGGAAGCATAGATCAAACCTAAACATTTACAACTTTAGACTGTAAATGAAATAATTATAACTCAAAAAGAACATTAAAAGATAAGCCTAAAAAAGATTGGGGTTGAATATCCTTTAATATCATGACCATTTGAGGATTTCAAAAAAAAATTCGATCTCTCAAAAAATCTTCAAATCTATTTTTTTTTCAAGTTCTTTCTCACTTTAAAGTAAATTCGTTTTTTGAGGGCAAGAATGACCCCTCAAACCTTATCCCCCCTTTTAAGGGGGTAAAATGAATTTTTTTGCCCCCACCCGAAATTTTTTTCCGGCCATACCCTTGCAGGCCGCTTAGGCGGGCGCCTTTTTGACCGCCTAATCGTCAGCCAACCGCCTAGGCGGGAGCCTAGTTCTGGCACCTAATAGTACCCGCCTTAAGAACGCCTAGGCGTTTTTTCCAGAAAGCCGCCTAGGCAGTCGGGCAGCTGACTTTTTTAACATTGATCATAAACAACCCTATTTTGCACTAAAAAAAAAAATTTGTTCAAAAAATATATATTTTAAGGATCGCAACAGAGTTTGTAGTTTTTGGTTTCTTGTGGAATCAAAAGGCATTCCATTGGAAACTTTTTAGAGATTAAAGAGGTTGCAAAATAGAGCTTTTGGCAACCGCAAGTGACCGATTCAAGCCCACTCTATTGGTTTTCTGAAAGGTTAGTAAATTCAACTGTTTATGTTTAGGGTTTCGTATTTATTGTGAGTATTGTGTTATGTTGTGTTTTTTTTTCATTTTCATGTATTCATTTTTTAAGTTTGGCTTTACATTTTTTACGAAATTTCCCCCCCTTAGTTTGCTAATTTTTGTGTTTATAATATATTTATGGCTATGTTTGGCTATTTATGGCTATGTTTGAGAATATAACCTTAAGCATGGTTATATCTATAATTTATAATGCAAAATACTAAATTTGTAACATATATATAGGGCTATGTTGGGATACTCATATATATGAGTATTTCCTTAATGTACTCAATATTTTTAGACAATCATTTACGCTTACCCCACAATGTAGTCACTTTTTGGCTAGAAGTATTTTGGGTAATTGGTTAGGGGTAAATTTAAATTTTTTTACAGAAAGAGAAGCATTTATTAACTATAGTAGATTGACATCATCTACATGGGGTGTGACATCACCAACATGAGAATTTTGTGAAGGTATCACTTCAATGGGTCATGGAACTAGAGAGCTTGTTTTTCAGGCCATTGGGAAAGATCTAGAGATCTGGCTTTGATAGCAAGTGAAAATGATGACCTCATATTGAAAATTGATGTTCGGTGTCTAAGAATGAGGTTTGAAAGCCTTTTCTATACCACAATTGAGTAAAAGAAAAGAAAAATACCATCTAAAATGCCAACTAAATGACAACTACTTGAATACATTTGATGGGCAACTAAATGGTAAAAGATGTTAATTTCTGATGTAAGGGTAAGCATATAACACTGGAATATTATGAACAGGAAGATATGCAAATGACTTACAGGTGAGTAAACCTATTTACTTTCCGCCAGTTTTCTTCTTAATAAGAACCGCCCCCAATAAGCTAGATCCTAGTGCTTGACATGACTTTAAACACACATGCATATGCCATTACATACTTGAGAGCATGCAGTGTACATAGTTTAAGACATCACGGTATTGTCACAAGGATTATTTTCTATGATATTTATGAATAAGATGATGGTTAAGTGCTTACTCATACTCCCTCTGCCAATAAATCCTACTCTACACTTAAGTCAAAACTATAATGTTTGGTATCATGAGATTATGTACTGTCACACAATTCCAAAGTATTCCAAACACTAAAAGCATGTAACATGTAGGTTTTCCTTTTTTGATAAAATAAAATAAAAAAAGTAAAAAAAGGAGTAACCCAATAGTTATGTATTGCTATATTAGGATCATGAGTCCTAATTCTTCAAATTCGATTTTATTTATCAGTCAAAAGGAACTATATACTAAACTCTAATAGATAATCATTGATGTATATCGTCTTCAACAAGCTAAAGAACATTACCAAGTTTACCCAACTCTTCCCTTCCAAAATGGGGGAAAAGAAGTTGTTTTCCTCCATACCAAAACGAGATAGCAACAATGGGAGTAGCACATTAAATTGCAATAACAAAATCCAAGAATATGAATTTGCAACAAACCAATGCAACAGGAATAGAATAACAAAGTCACCTTTCTTTTCATTTTTACCCCATCCCCCTCCATCTTCTCGTCGTTGCTGCAAATTTAAATAATTAATGTAAAAATATTTATACAAAATTAGCATTCTCAAAAAAAAAAAAGATATATAAATGATTTTGTAATAGTTATTACGAGAAGATTAGCAAAACATGAACCAATTACATTATCTAACAGACCCAGATAAACATTTATTCTATATATCAAACTTAAATAAAAAAGTTTGTGAATTAAGATGTGCACACCTTAATGAGCTTCAACAACTCATTTGATAATTTCTCATCCGGAGTCTCAATTGATTCACTGCAATTTAGAAATTTATGATAAACACAACAAATGATGATGGTGATGATGACGACAACAGCAAAACATACCTTTTAACTCCAGCAGGATTGGACACCCTTTTTGGGCGCACTTTTGGCATAAACTGTATCAGCCAATAAACAGAGCACATAAGTAAAACATCTAAATAATTAGAAGACAAAAAATCGAGATAAAAATCATAGACAGGTAAATACTAGCAATTTAAAGGCTTGGAAGTTAGATAAGAAAAATTACTTTACAAACCTTTCTAGGTTTTTTAGGATTGTTTGATCCATCGTCCATTTGTAAAGCTCTGGAATAGCTGAATTCAGAAATACAAGGAAAACTGCATGAAGAAGAGGAAGGATAAGAGGCCTAAATGGTTTTCCCTTCTTTTCTCTCTGAGAAAACCAAAACCAAAGAATAAACCCTAGGAAAAAAAAACAGTAAAGCTTGTCTTTGCTCTGTAAAAACAAAGAGCAAACCTAAACGAAACCACTTATGCTCTTTTAGGCCTGAATTCTTTTTGTCTGCGAGAACCAGGTCCTGAAACTAAACCCTCAACTAAAAACTCCCACGAAAACCCTTAGAACCCTGAAGATGAGGAAAATTATTGCATGGCCATTGCTTTTCAGCAAAAGAGGTTATTTTCAGAAGTTCATTATATAAAAGAAAAAGTTTATATAGAGCCGTGGCCCTAAACAATCAAACTACAGCCCACCTAAAAACTTTTACTGGGGGAGGCTTTTTTATGCTCAAATATCCTCAAGTTGATCATCTCAACATCAACATGCATAAACATTAGAAAAATATCGATTTTAAAATTTAAAAATAGTGAATCTTGTGACGCATTTTTCGACTGTCAATTTTCAAGATTTTCAAATTATCATAAATATGCTTGATTTATATTATTTTTAAAATCTTAAGTTTTATAATTAAAAATAAAAACTATATTTTAAATCTATCATTAAAATTTTCAATATTAAAACCAAATTTCTCTAGACTATTTGAAGGTAGGTTTTACTTTAAGAGTTAATGATCTTATAGGACCCTCTTCCACCTACATGTGTAAGACTTCAAAAGATCACCCTTAAAATTGACATAGATCTTTAAAAAAGTTATTACGGATTTGATTTTTTTAAATATTTGTACCAACTTTAATGATAATTTTTTGGAAGTCCACACACATGAGTGGGAGAGGATCCTATAAGATCATTTCTCGTACTTTAAAGGTGCGATTTGTATAGAGCCCAGGCTCGATTCTCGGTGGTAGAAAAGGGCTGGGGTTCTACAGGTAGAGAGAAGGAGAATTAGGGGAGAGAGAAGGAGAATTAGGGTAGAGAGAAGGAGAATTAGGGTAGGTAATTATTCTCAGGAAAAAAAATCTCAAAATTGAGTTATTTTCATACTTTGATCTAACCCTCTAATAATCGTTATATGATTATTCTTTAAAATGAAATTTTGAGACATTCTAATAATTATACATCTCTACTCGATCTTGAGAGATTATGTTTTTCAAGTACATAAAGGGTGCAGTTAAACCCACAGTCTAAAGGTAATCAAGAATCATATATAGGTTTTGACCTGAGGGAGTAAACCCACAGCCTACTCCCACAGAAGTATAACATTTTTTGGCTTCAGTGCTTAGATGGCGCGCGATTGGCCTCGAACGAACTGAGTTTAAATGGGTTACCGGCTGTGTACCGAGCCTGTTCTTACCTTGAGTTTAATTGAGCCTCCGCAGATACCAGGTCTGTTTTTTGCAATTGTGATTGTTTCTAGTAGATAGAAAATTAGGAAAAATATTTTATTTAAATCCTAAAATTATGCTTTTAATGTGTTTTATGATTTTTCTGGATCAATAATTGATCTATTTAACCCTCAAAATTGAGGACTTATTTTTTTAACCAAAACTAGTTTGTTTAGATCAATTTGATATTTAGGTGAGCTTTTCTCGTCAAATTCTCCTAAATTTTCAACCAAAGATATCAATTCCCTGTCCTTGGAATTTTTGGGATCAATCCACTCGAATTCACGTGCATTTAAGCCATCTGTCAAATCCTTGTATCAATTTGTAGTATCAAAAATCAAAACAATAGAAATCGACTTTTCATATTTCGGAAATTTTGAACTTTAACTTATTCGAGTGCTCTCTCATTTTTCACCAAATTCATTTAAATATTCCCAAACTGTTCCCATCATATTATCTACAAAAGCCCTAATAATTTCTTTGGATAAAAAAAAATTTATGAATTTCCAGTTTTAGCTATATGTCTGCTTTTTCTTTCCAAAATGTTTTCTTGATCTGTATTTTCTATTTTGAATTTTGGTGATTTTCTTTCAAGTTTCAACAGCTCTCCACCCAAGATGTTGCATGTTCGAATCACACTGATGGTTAAAGAGTAGAAAGAATTCACATAGTCAAGCTGAACGGAAGCGAATCACTACCCCACTAAAATAACATAACAGTAAAATCTTCAGAAGTACCCCCTATATACATAAAAGAGGTCATAAGATTAGCAAATTTTCAAAAAATATGTCAAGTGGACTTGCCCGAGGCTTTGTACGAGGCCAAAAAGGGCTAAAAACTGAAAATAAAATATGAAAACTTGCTAAAATAAAATTGGCTAATAGCAAAAAAAAAAAAAAAAAGGTTATAGAAGACATTAAAAGTCTATAAAAGATGGAAAAATTACATAAAGGTTGGAATATGGAAGAATTTGATTTATAGATGTAAATAGATGATAAACTTCTATTAGATCCCCACCATCCAAAGAAATGGACTGGTGGGGGGCGAGAGACTGGGACCGACCATTGATGTCATGCCATGTTCTGGTTGGGCTCACTCTCCCTGCATCACCTTTCATCATCTCGATGACTGGTGATGACCCAATGGGCTATGACTTCTCAAAGGTCCATTAAATTATAATTATAATACTTGCCCTTTTGATTTTGGCCTGCAGTGAAAATTCTTTGGAGACCTGCAAAATCGAGATGCATTAATCAGCTTTTATGTGGGGATCTGCAAATTTGATATGCGTTAATCGGCTTTTGTGTTCAGGCAGGACATGTTTTAACACTAATAAGTTTGTAGAAGATGGATAACTGTCAGTAAGTTCAGGCAGGACTTGTTTTAACACTAACAAGTTTGTAGAAGATGGATAACTGTCAGTAAGAGTTGCCATTGGTGACGGAGTTGTTCTTGCGCAAGTGAGATCAGGTTTGACAAATAGAGTTGGTAGAGATTTTGTTCAAGAATTCATCAATGATCAATGTTCCTGACAATGTCTTGGTACGGATGAGAGACTTATCCATTGAAGCCGGCGGTCAAGGAAATTCAAAGAACAAATTAAGCAACCAGCACAGCCTTTTCCTTTGACATTTTTAAAAGATATTGAGGAGGCTATCAGTTCACTTCTTTTCAGTTCTTCATTTCATTTTTGATTGCTTGAGTTTCTACTAAGCCAATTCTAGAATAGCATTGTAAACATTTTTTTTTTTTAATAATGTCCTGTTGTTGCATTCAGCTGTCCATGTTTAATTCAAAGTCATATATTTTTTTTGGGTAAAAAGTTTCAGTGTTGTTTTAAGTATTAAGAAAATGGTTTTTCTGTTATAAGCCACAAATTTTGCTATTACATATCTGTCTTAAAAAATAAAGTACCTCAAATGGTTGAGTTGTGGTTGATTATCTCTTCCTATGTTCTTGCATAGATTCGGAAGAAATAATTTATAAGCAATTTGACTTTTTGGGAATCAGGCACCTGGGTAAATACAATGTAATAAATGAAAATCTCAGAAGGACATTCCAGATTCGATCCTACAGCTGACCAACATGAAGATCATCAGAATGAGATGTGCATTCATCACATTCCCGTTGATTCCGCCCTTTGGAATTGATTTTCTGGAGTTATGAAGAAGCAAAATGCAATTGACTTTCAGGAGTTATGAATTAAAATCAGCAAGGATATAAAAATATCTTGATGTTACCAGATTACATTTTATAATGGGGTTGACAGAACAAAGCTAACTTATTCTTTGTGTTCCTGTTACAACTTTCGATGTGGTCAAAATATTCTACAAATCAAGATACAGTGCAAACAACATGGAAATGTAGTCTCCTCTTTTGTTTTATTTTATATTTTTTGTTTAATTATAATTAACATTTATCAATTAGCAAAAATGACATGAAGGGTGCAGCGGTCAATTCTAACCATAGGAACACATTTTTTAACAATAAAAGCATACACGTTTTTAAGTTTCCTCTTATGGATCATATTAAGCAAATGCGATTTTTCGATACTCGGACTAGGCTCGACGTGTTAGACTAACCAAGTTTGGAAAAACCCAAAATACTTGGGCATAGGGATCTACCGATAAGGGTTTAATGGGTTACCCCTTGATGAGGTCGGAGTATGCTCAGATGAGAACCGAGGGACTGCGTGGCCCTTGCGTGTGATGAATAGCCTTTAGAGATATGGCTAAAACATCATTGCTCTATCATGATACGGTATATACATAGATAGCCGTTTTGAAGTTCGCAAATGAGGGTGAAACATGTACATGTGCGAGAGATTACCTCTATGAATCATAGAGTCATGGTTGCATAATGGTTTGGAGGACCATGTTTTTTTTTGTTCTCCAAGAAGAAACCTAAAATTCATAAATTGATATTGCGTCCTCTTGTCTATTGGCTGACTTTGGTGGTCCAATCATAAGCCCTTACAGTAGACTGTAGATTATGAGAATTGCTGAGTTAGTTTGAGAAAGCTAGGTGGATCATGGTTCGTAATTGGAGGTGGAGTGCTCCAATATATTGATAAATATATTTTTCTCCTTCCTCATAACCCCTCGATTTCCCCTCTCTCTCCATTTCCAGTCTCTACATCAACAGTTCCCAGGGTTTGTTTCTCCCTCACTCTGTGTGATAATATCTTGGGGCCTAAGGTTTAGGGCTGGATTTTGAACTTGGCTGCCTACCCCCCCCCTTACCCATCACATTTAGGGACAGAAAATGAGACGGTTAGTCCACTTTTTCTAACCTTGAGCTGGATTTGGAAGTACAACCATTCTTTCTATCAAGAAAGTGGTAAGTTTCATCTTTCATTCTCTAAACTTTTGAGCATTTTCTCTCTCTAAACTTTTCATTCTATAGTTTTAGGTCTTGATTTAAGGTTGAATTTCAAATACGGCCATTGTTTTGGGTTTGAATAGATGAATTAGAGTGGATATTTCTCTCTCTAGTGGATTTTGAATGGATGAATTGGAGTTTTTATTTTTCATCATCAACAGTAGGGGCTGGACTTTGAAGTACAACTATTTTTTCTCTCAAGAGGGTGGTAAATTTTATCTTTCTCTCCAGGCTTTTTGGGCTTTTTCTCTCTCTAAACCTTTTACTGTTTACTTTAGGCCTTGATTTAAGGTCACCTTAAAACAATGGTGGAAAGGATTGTTCATAGATAGGATTTTTATGTTCATTGAATGTGAGATGAGCTCATTATTGTGATGTTAAGATGTTCATCCATCTGTTTCAACAGGTGTTTCATGTGTGATTTGGATCATGTTTGGATAAGTTGCGGTCGTACACAATATGCTTGGTTATTGCAACTATGGGTCTTTTTAGATTTTGACTAAATGCCGCTACTTTAATTCATAATGTGTTCATAATGTGTATATGTTGATCTCAGGGTTTGCATACTAGTAATATATAGGATGTTAGTAGCATGTGTTGCAAGTCATATGAGCTATATGCAACCTCATGGTGGAAGTCTCTGTTATCTCATGTCTGGTTTCTTGCTGTGTAACTGTTCCAAAATTTATGCTATTTTTTAGCATACCTTGTACAAACTCACATATTGAAATAGATCAAGTATGTAAATTGAATCAAGTTGGGTGAGAGTTAGAATCTCTTTCAAATTCAACATATTGAAATAGATCAAGTGCGTGACTGTTGGTGTTTTGTACTTGGCTTCTATGTCAATGGTTAATGCAACCCCTAGTTTGAGAAGACTTCATCACAATATTTGCTACCAACTTGTGCTAGGTTCAATCAATCCATTATGCAACAAATTGCCATGCATATAGCTCTTCATATTTTTGTGGCATCAGTGAACACCCTATTAACAGTGTTTATATACTGCTGGCAGCGTGTACACGCTTTTAACAGTGTGCATATGTTGTATGTTGTTCATAATGTGTATATCATATGAGCTATATGCAATATATCTTATTTTGATTAATAGCTTGACTTGTAGGCTCTATTTAGAGTTTGTGATGTTAACTAGAATATATGTTGATTAATACAAGTTTTGGATGAGTTGCAGGTCATACATACTATGCTTGGTTATTACAACATTTGGTCTTGTTGGATTATGGCGTCACGGTGAGGTCTAGGGTGTTCAAGAGCTATTGCTTACATTTGAAGAAGGAGATTGGGCTTAATGTTGAGCGGCATAGATTGGCCTGTAGAAAGTACAACTAAGACAACATTACTTTGGAGCGGCTAGATTGGCCTTAAATGTTGCGGCATCGCAATTGTTTGATATTCCATGTCAAAAAGTTTGGCAACTAATTTGAGGGTCTCCACTTTATTGATATGGGAATGTAATAACCCTTTCATGATGACAAGTACTTGTTAAAGACTATGCTATCAATCAATCGATAGTTATGTAAATTTAAAGACGATTTCAGTTTGTTAAAGAATGTATCGCCATTTTGATTGATGCACGTATTAGTTCCAGGATTTTTATGTTCATTGGATTTGAGTTGTGCTCAATGTTATGATGTTGAGATGATTGAACAATTGTTTGTAATTGTTTATTTTCCTTGGCCATGCATATATTTCAGCAGGGGTTTAATGTTTGATTTGAGTAAATGGATTGAAATGACGATATAAATATAGCAAGGCAAGTTATGCCAGCAAAATCTTAACCATCTTGCTGGTCATCAATTGGTTGGATGATGGACGTCTTATAAAAATTTTCACGAGAGAGATGGTGGGGGCGTTCAACCAAAGGTCTCTATATTGTAAATATCTTTTAAACATTTTCTAACTCGCTTGAACCTTTTGTTCTTTGTATGGACCTTCTAAAACCCATAACTCATCTTTAATTTTCACTATTGATTCTTGCTAGCAAAGCTTCTTTGTTTCAATCTAATGAAAGAAAGAGAGGTATTTATTCTGTCGTCTTCCTTACGAAGTTCTTGTTAGTGCTGAAGAATAAGCCTATGGTGTTTCCATTTCTCGTATACTCAAACAACGTAAGGGAAAAATAATATTTCAATTGCAAAAATTTGGTGCTCCTTTGGAAGCTTGTTAATAGAACAAATAAAGCGCACCATTGAAGAAATTAAATCAAAATGGTTGTATCCAGTGTTTAAAAAAACGCCGAGTCGAACCGGACTCGCCCGGTTCGACTCGGGAATCACCATGGACGGATCGAATCGGCGAAAAAAACGGGAATCGTCCAGCTCTACAGTGACTCGCAATTCTCTGTACGGAATCGGCGAGTCCGTACAGTGAATCGGTGAGTCCGTACGGAATTTTTTTTTTTGCAATCCATGATCGAATTTTTTTTTTTTTGTAACCCATGATAGAATTTTTTGTAATCCATGATCGAATTTTTTGTTTTTTTTTGTAACCCATGATAGAATTTTTTGTAATCCATGATCGAATGTTTTGTAATACATGATCGAAATGTTTGTTTTTTTTTGTAATCCATGATCGAAATGTTTGTTTTTTTTTTGTAACCCATGATAGAGTTTTTTGTAATCTATGATTGAATTTTTTGTAATCCATGATCGAATTGTTTTTTTCTTTTTTTGTAATCCACGATTGAATTTTTTGTTTTTTTTGTAATCCATGATCGAATTTTATGTAATCCATGATCGAATTTTTTGTAATCCATGATTGAATTTTTTGAAAATTGGTGATTTTTTTTTTTTAATCCATGATCGAATTTTTTTTTGTAATCCATGATAGAATTTTTTGAAAATTTGTGATTTTTTTTTTTAATCCATGATTGATTTTATTGAAAATTTTGTTATTATTATTTTTTTTAATCCATATTATTCAAAGAGAAAATGAGAGATGATAATTCTGAGGCCACCTTATCCCAGCCATATTATTCACATATCGAGTCCCAACAGCAACAGTGTAGGGATGATGATGACAGTGCAGGTGAGCATGAAGGATGGACAATCTTCAGGGATTTTAGATTGAGAACACAACAAAACACTAACACTCAAGGATTTAAGAATAGTCAGACGCCTGCTAATATCGATGATTCGTTTTTTGATCGAATCAATGAATTGTTAAACGAATTCAATCAATGGCACCAGCGTGACCAAGAAGAGCAATAACGTCGTCTATCATTTTATTTTTAGATCATATGTTACTAATTTTATGCTTTATTGTAGTCCATGTATGTTGATATACTTATTCCATGATAATTATATGTTTATCCTTTTGTGTGATATAAATAAAATGCTGAATGGCGGTTCATGCAGGGAAATAACATATCAATATTCGCATATTCATTCAAAAACATGAAAATTCTTTCTTATTGAATTCTTAAAAAACAATATTTATAATGAATTTTAATAATTTTTTTGGATTTTTTTTAAACTTTATTCTGACCGATTCACCCGATTCCCGATCCGAATCGCCTATCCGGATCGATTTTTTGGAAGCCCGATCTGGGTCACCGATCCGTTTACCATTGGTTGTATCATATATTTGACTCGGATACCAAGAACATGGAGAGAAAGTGAGAGAGCCATCCAATATCAATCCACACATCGCCTACGGTATAGGGAACATAGACGAAAAACCATTTGAATTAGCAATAACAAGGAAAAAAATCCACTTAGAACTCGATCAACCAGTCTACACTAGCAATAATAAATATAGAAAATAAAGACACAAATATTTCATATGTTTTACACCAAAATACAATCAGGCTCTATGGAGAATCCACATGCTTGAATCTTCCATCCTGGGAATGCATCACCAGCAATTTGAAGCCCACTTATCCCCGATAAAGCATCATCGTCTGCTGTTGTATGCCACAACATCTTCAATGAGCGATCAAGTGGTGAACTGCTTCATTAAAGTGCTTCCAATTCAGCATAATAGAAAGACGGGGAGGACTATGCAATCCACCATCTTGTACCAAAACATAGAAGAAACTTGAGAAAGAGGAAGAGCACCCAATTATATGAAGAAACCATGGAAATTTTGAAATTGAAAGAAAAACACCAGCCCAACAACACATCACTCTCCTTTTCTTGCTAAATGAAATATAAACAAAGCATCGAGTATTCTGACATTTGAAAACCATACGACGGCCCACATACTTTTTAGGGAATTCAAGCATTTCTGATCCAAAGAAGAATAAATTTTAATGGTACCAATCATAGTAAAACTAGCATTGATTCAGCTACAATAGTTACAGGAAAATTGTATCGCCGTAAAACTCATATTGATTCAGCTACCACAATTACAATAAAATTGTAGCCTAATATAAGAAGGCCCAACCTCTGAGAGCAAAACTCAAATTGATTCAGCTGCAACAATAATAGAAAAACAAGAGAATAAAGGGGACACTAACAACTCAAATCAACTAACCCACAAAATAAATAGTCATTAATCATGGCATCAACATATTCACCCCACTCCAATTCATTCAACCACTTATAAATAAGAACAATTCATATGACCCACCATAAAAGGATCCTATCTCACAAGGACTAAAAGTTCAAATTAATTGGTGTGCAACAAAATAGGAAAGACAACAGAGGAAGATATCACCTCAAATTCATGAATGCACTCATGTAGCACATCAATTCTATGAAACCCAACGCAAAAAAATCCTATCCGACAAACAATTAACTCAATTTGAATCAGCTACACCAAGTAATTAAAAATTAACATAAAATTAAGAAAATAAAATAAAAACCCTAATTCATCCATCCCCAATGAATAGTCACAAGAACAACACTTCATAAAATCCCAATAAATAATTATAAATCATAAACGCCAATACAAGAACAACAAACTCAATAATCATCAAACTCTCATTTCATCCAATTTCCATAATCATGAAAAAAGTTGACCTACCATAAATCCCATTATAAGTAACCTGGATACATAAAAACACCTACCAAAGAATATAGAGTAAAAGGTAAAAAGAAAAGAAAGAGAATTACAGAGAAAAGGAAACCAGTTAGGGCGAGCTTTCACTGCCCATCTTCCGTTTATGCACCTCTTCAGAAGCTGGCTCTCTCCTATGAAGAATAGAGGAAGAGGTAAAAACCCAGAAATTTAGAGAGAGAAAGCTGAAAGAGAGACGATTGAGGGAGGAGCTTTAAGGATAGCATGAGAAAATAGAGAAGGTTGAGAGTGGGTATAGAGAAAGAAGATTGAGGGAAGAAGGTTGGGAGAGGGTAGAGAGAGAAGATTGAGGAAGAAGGTTGGGAGAGGGTAGAGAGAGAAAATCGAGGGAAGAAGGTTGGGAGGGAGAGGGTGGAGAGAGAAGATTGAGGGAAGGGAGAGAGAGAAGTGCGACAGGTTGTATTTTTTTTTGTCAGCTTTTACAAGGCGTGACCCACCCCGGTTTTCTTTTTAGGTGGCGTGCAATCCGAGTTAATGAACGGTGAAAGTTGCTGCAGCTCAAGATCAACATTTAGAGACGCGGCTCTATATAAACCGGACCCATAAATATAAAACATCGTTATCACTATTCAATATAATTTTTTAAATAAAAAATTTTAACTCATTTTTTTATAGATCTTAATTTAAAACCACGTATTTAAAGTCTCAATATCCTTAATGGCCTCCCTTAGTCTTCTTCAAACCCCTTTGGTTTGATCTTTTAAGCTCTAGATCTCAATCTATAACGAACGGAAAAATGAGAGATGTATCAAAAAGAGATTTATTAGTAATGGGATCTTCCCCTTTACTATCCAAAAGTAAAAAAATCAAAATCAAACTGACAAGCTAACCTACGAACGGAAAAATGAGAGATGTATCAAAAAGAGATTTATTAGTAATGGGATCTTCCCCTTTACTATCCAAAAGTAAAAAAATCAAAATCAAACTGACAAGCTAACCTTAACTTGGGCTTGCTACCTGCCACCTAGGTATTGAGAGAGATTTTTGTTGGGTTGTGCGAGAGAGATTACTTGGGTGTTGAGAGAGATTTTGGTTGGGTTGTGCCCTTTAGTTATGACCCCTTAGAAAACGTTGGAAGAGATTTTGAAACCTGTGACCCCTTAGAAAAACTTGGAAACTATCTTGAAGCCTGTGACGCTTTAGAAAACTTGGGAGAGATCTTGAAACCTCCTTCGAAGAAAAACTTAGGAGAGATCTTGAAGCCCTAAGTGGCAAGCCCCACCTCTAGAGAGTTATGTGATAGAGATAAAGGAGAGGAGAGTTCATCTCTTTGAATCTTAATACTGGATCTAAGAGATGATGACTCAAATCTTTAGTTTACCGATGATCTCTTTGAATCTTGATAGTGGATTTAAGAGAGGGATGAGTTAAATCTCTAGTTTATTGACGGTCAAGATTTGACCATACGAATCAAAGCGCATAAAAAATTTATATAAAAAAGCTCTTGCACCTCATAAAATCTCAACACTCATTCTCTCTCATCTCTTTTATCTCTCTCACATATCTCTCTATAAGTGGGGCTTGCCACCTAAGGCTTTAAGATCTCTCTCAAGTTTTTTTAAGGAGCTTCAATATCTCTTTCTAAAAAAAAAAAAGACTAAGAGAGTTTGCCAAAAGGTACTGAGGTGTTCAGTAGTTGGTTTTAGATAAGGTTAAGGGAGGCTGCCAAAGGTATTGAGGCGTCAAGTAGTTGGTTTTAGATTGAGCTCTATAAAGCAATGAGTTAAGGTTTTGATTTAAAAAATGGTAGAAGTGAGAACCGTGTTTTTTTTATTTCTTTGTTTCAAGAGTTATTTATTTATTTTTAATTGGACATTGTAAATGGTCTTTTCGGTAAAAGAATAAAAAAAATAAAAAATAACAATAATTTATATATACCGATCATACGGTCCAACTTTCATTTGTTACGAGACGGTCTTCATATTTTGCGTGATTGTCATGAAAAAAATTTAATGCACCAAACACCCAGATTAAATATGGGAACTTTCATTTGGTACGAGAAAGTCATCATATTTTGTCACTGTAAACTCATGAAAAAAAAGTTAGTACACCCAACACCCAGATTAAATATGGGTTTTTTCCAATTTTTTGCAGCCTAATTCTAATAAGATTTATGAGGTCTATGCGAAGTTTGAGATTTTTTTTTTTTAATCCGAGCCTTTTTAACGGCATACCTCTAGCTGCCTAATCTCAAACTAGTTTTTTTTTTTTAAAACAAGTTGAGTACCTAATCTCAAACTAGTTAAACTCATTGTGCAAGGTAAACAATCTTATTTTATACTTTCCGTAAGAGAGAGGTTGTATCAGGGAGGTAGGAAAAAACCTTGCAACCTTATTTGTAGAAATAAATTTGCATCAATCTACCCCATCCATTTTATTTAGACAGTGTAAGTTAGAAAAGATTTGTCATTTATTGATGGATGAGGTTTCTATAGGGCCTAGGCTTTATGAAAACAAAATAAAGTCTCACCTCAAATCCTCATCCGAAAAGCAATATCGGCATCGAAAATCTTCATAATGGCTCTAAAATTAATTTTCAACACCGATAATGAAATTTGAAACTCAAAAAATGAAATAGATCTTGCGGATCTATAAACAATTATTTTTAGAGCAAAATAGATGGTCTAGAAGATTTGTTGCAATATACACTATCTTGAAAATTTAAAATCATAATTGTTTTGCACTACCATAATGTTCAAGCTGAGATGATCGATTTAAAGGTTTTTTAACACTTAGAATTGTAATTTTTGAGAAGTTATGCAATGAAGCTTTACTTATTTTGATTGGGCAGCAGTCTTATAAAACCATTTTCCTTTATTGATACTACCTTAAAATATATATGAAATCTAACACCGTTCAAATAAAATGAACGGCTTAAGGTATCAGAATTTTATTTCTACAAATAAGATGCAACCTTATATAAACCACACCCTTTCTAAAATGTGTGTGAGAGAGAAGAGTGAAGTACCATCAGAGGTAGACTAGTCCTGACCTAAAACAATGTTGGGTAGCCCTGGGCTCGAAAATTTAGTTGCGTCCCATGCCAAAATACATGATATCGAGGCCGAAATTCAGCGAGGACTAAAAAATCAGGTCGGGTCATGCACTACATAAATATGGAAAAAGATCAAATACATGTGTTATGTTTCTTAAAAATAAAATTTGGGTCATGACTATGCGGGCTGGGGCCCTACATGATAATAGCTTACCAAGTTGAGCCCATCCCCGCCCATGGGCCTTTTCATGCAGTCTGATCCAGCCCCAAGTAAGGGTTGCAGTGGTCTAGGTGTCCCGGCCACCCGGCCCAGCCTGCCAAACCTGCCCTAGAAACTATGGCATGAGGCATGAAATGTGGCCCAAGGGCTGGACCAAGGCCAGGCAACCACGGCCCGATAGTAGGGCCTAGCCAGCCCGGCTAAGGCCTTTGGTTATTTGTTTTTTATGTTTTTTGTCTTTCAATTTTATTTGGCCAGGCACTAATAGGGCTAGGGCCTTTTGACCTAGTTAAGACCAGGCTGCGGCTGTGTCAGGGTAGGGGGCAGCTCGCCCCGTTGCCACCCATAGGCCCAAGCCTGCCTGACCCGGATAGCAGGCCCAAGCCACCCATCAGCATTGAGCTTTCTAAAACCGGGGTTACTGCTACAGTTTAAAATAAAGGGAAAAGAGAAAAAAAAATGTATTGATTAAACGATGCTTTTAAATAAGAACATCATGTGGGGCTCATGGTAGTTATGTTATACAAAGCTGTCTTTTGGTATTTGATTTTGACCGTCACATGCTTTGTCTTGTTTGCTTGGCCTTTTGTGATATTTTTTCAATTATGAATTGAGTTTTGGATAATTTTGTGTGGTTCTCAGCACAAAGGTTTTGTGTAAACCGGATTTAGTATTAAAGAATAACAAAATATTGAAGGAAAGCGTTGTCAACTTTATATTTAAGAAAAGAAGGACAAAGCAACACGCAATGAATACATCAATCCTTTGAAAGATGGGAAAAGTTTATATAAGGATGCATACTTATAATGTAGAACTACGAATGCACCTAAAAAATCTATCGAAAAATGTAGTTTTAATGTTGAAAAACCCTTTGATTGATCATCTCGACATCGAGATGTATGACCATGAAAAATAAAAAGTTTTTAAATCTCAGAAATAATGCATTTTACAACATATTATCTATACCGTCCACTATTAAGATTTTCATATATTTATAGATATTTGAAATTTAAAATTTTATAATTAGATATAAAAATAGATTTTAAGATAATCCTAAGAACATTTTACATCAAAATTATATACCATGATAAAATTTGAAGGTGCGCTTTACCTCTACAGCTACGAATGTATCTGTATGCCTTGCATCTTGTTATTTAGGTTAGTGGTTCTATAAGTTCATGCTCTACTTTAACGATTGGGCCCGGTACCATATCCACCATTGGCTTGGTGTGTTGGGTGATCACCACCATTGATTATGAAACTTGTCAAAAAAGTTTGTAAAATTGATTTTGAATTTTATTTTTCTTCCTCATTTTTTTGTCAATTTACAATTAGATATACCTCCCTTAGGCTTTGGCTTAGGACGAGATTCATCGATTTGGGTAAGAAAGAAGAAAGCTGATCTGCCCCCATTTTATCTTCTTTTGTATATCATTTTGAGCAGCAACAAATAATTAATATTGGTTTATTAAAACTTACACTGTAAACTGAAATTTGGTTTATTAAAACTTTCACTGTAAACTGAAACTCTTTGCTTTCTACCGAAGCTAATATAATTGGGAAAAGTTTATATAAGGTTGCAACGTAGAATTAAAGATGCACCTCAAAATCCATCAGAAATGGTTGTTTTAATGTTGAAAAACCATATAATCGATCATCTCGACATCGAGATGTATGAATATAAAAAAAATAAAATTGAGTCCTAAAAATAGTGCATCTTGCAATATATTATCTAGACCATCCATTTTCAAGATTTTCATATGTTTATAGATCTATTTGATTTAACTATTTTTAGAATTTTAAATTTCTATAATTAGATACGAAAATAGATTTTCAGATGATCCTAAAAATGTTTTACACATGTTATGATAAATTTTGGAGGTGGGTTTTACTTGGATTGTTTAAAGTTGCAATCTTATAGAAACCACACCTAATACAATTAGTTTTTGTTTTTTTGAATAATTCAGTAGGGAAGATAGGCCTCTACCCATTTTTCCGCGATAGATTAGGGAGTTAGCTTTTTCAAAAGTATCAATGGGTAATGGCAGCACGATTGAAAACCACAACGTGGTAACTAGACATGGGGGTGCTACCACCACACCCAAACCCTTTCCTATATAATTAGGTAGTCTACCTTGACATGTATTATCAATACGCACAAATACACATATTTACACCTTTTTTTTATCTCGGATGTTTTGCCGAGTTAGAACCTATCAAGTATTTTTCACTCGAAAATGTTTCGGAACCAATCAAGTCTTTGCACCCAAGGTTTTTCTAGTGCTCTGTTTTTCTTATACTAGGTTCCATTGTTTTGGACCAAATTTACATTTGAATTAGTTATGGCCACTAATCACATCAACACTATTCACTGTAAAAATCTAAGGACATAAATAACGAATTAGTCAATTAAACATCATCAGGAGGGTCTCTATCATCTAGAGAGCCCTGGCTCTTTACGATGTTAGTTGAGGTTAATGGCCTTAACATCAAGCAACCTCCACTAAATAAATTAATTTATATGTAATTATTGGTCTCAAACCCCAAAAATACCCCCACATACCTTAAATTAATTACACGATGTACCTTAAATTAATTCATGTAAAACTTGTCATAGTCATCGCACTAAAAAGAATACATGGGGTATACTGCCAAGAACTTGGATTAATAGAAGGAATTAGTTTAAGATATTGCCAGGAAATGGAATTAAAAGAAAAGAGTTGGTATTAGGTTTGTACTATAAAATTAGAAATTAAGGCCTACTTCACAAACCTTTGGACAGGCTTTTCACGTTGGAAAGATGCATAGATACGAGGAAAATTAATTTTAGTTTTAAAATAATATATATTATAACAAATTATTTGGACTATCCATGTTCAAGATTTTCAAACATTTATAAATATGATTGATTTGCATCATTTTAGATCTACAATTTGGGGTAGAAATAATTTTTTAGATCACTGTAGGAGTTTACGGTACTAGAAGTGCATCCTTCTGGTAAGATTTAGAGGTTCCTTACTTTGTCTGTTTAAGGTTGATGCCTTGCATAGACCGCACCCTGGAAAGTTTTACATACGAACTATAGAGAAAGTATAATGTGCTCAGTTTGGAGTATGATGTAAAGTTATTTCTTGTGTAAAAGACCTACTTAGAAGTGTTTTTTCAATTTATAGTTTTTAATGTGCTTTGAAATCACTGGATGAGTATTTGGAAAAAAGAAAAAACAGATTTTGAGTTTCTAAAGACACAAATATGGCCATCCATGAATTGGATGATCTTCATTCAATTTTCAGATTATTTTTATCAGGCACAAATGACACGTGTGTGTGAATCTAAAGATTCACGTCAACTGTCTCTTGTCAACACGAAAAAAGTCGGGTTGCAGGATGCTGTTTCTAGCCTATAATGCATCACAATGTTTAAAAGACCGGATACAGGAGTCGCCAATTCAGATCGGCAATTTTCAAACAAGCTGGGATGTAATTTACCATCTCTAAACTACAATGCATCACAACGTTGTTCCAATCCTATAATCCTGAATTCCCAATGCAACGATTCAACATCGCAAAATCTTGAATTTTTTTTTTTGAATATTTGGGCCATAGAAGCGGAGATTAGTTTCTTATCATTCAATGAACATCCTCTATCTCTTAGAAATTAGGGACAATATGATCCTTGCATAGGGGCCAACCAATCCAACTTATATCATGTATCTCATTGAAATTAGGGACAATATGATCCTTGCATAGGGGCCAACGAATCCAACTTTCAGGCATCAAGATACATTTCAAGTATGGATGGTTATCATAATAGATTCCCAACATATCATAATATTCTTTTTCTCGAAAATTAGAACTTCTTTAGATCCAAATGGGATTCTAGGATTTCTCCTTTGAGCTAATACTCTTTATACATACCTCTTGTGGTTGATCCACACTATATTGTATTATCGTAAAATGATACACACTAGCTAATAATCCTCCAGGTGCTACTTCATAAGCACACTGGCCGCCCTAAGCTATGATATTTCTCAAAATCTTTGGGGCAATTTCTGTCATTTATAACCAACATATTTAAAGCTAAAACTTAAATCCTAAGGTACTGCGCCATATGATAATGGCAAATTATTTTTCCCAAGTTTTCAACAGTGAAATCATATTACTACGTAACTGACAGAAACATCAATCAGGTGGTTCTCCTTTCCTCCTCCTACAGCCTCCATACTCCGTAAGACCCCTCTAATTTATAGGTTTTTCCATCAGATTTGTTTCAAAACCTTAATTTTCTCCTTTATCTTAACAATTTGAATCCAGTTTGTTGTTATGTATACTTCTTTAAGATTCTCCTCTGGTTTTGCTTAGCTGCTTTTGTATCTTCCAGTACCTGCTGCGAAAAATAAAGTTTTTGTGTTTTCGACGAAACCTCAAAACTTTTCAAAGCTCCTTGGGCTCTTTCCCTTCATAGCTTTATCATTCTAATGACTTACTAGATTTGTGGTTCTTCTCTTTGATTTAAATCTGCCTTTCCTTCTATTGATAATGTAATTTACATTTCCTTGTATCGATACTGTAATTTACAGAATCAAAAGCAGTCGAAGTGGCTTTCATAGACCTGTTTTTTTTAATTTCCATTTCTTAAGCTCTTAATTCCTTTTTTTTGTTGTGATTTAAGCTGTTTTGTCCATGTATTTACTGTAATTTAGGGCTTCTGTGCAGTAAATCTTCAGGTCCTATTTAATGTTGGCTCCTCAAAGTAGGTGGTTGGATGATAGGAACCTTTTTTATTTAATGCCATTTGCATTTATGGGATTTGTTACACAGTGCTACATATGTACTATGTACTCGACTGTTTTTCCTCTCTTGTAAGAGCTTTCTGCAAATTCTTAGTGAGTATTGATTCTCGAGATCAAATTCTATATTTATATCTGTTTTTGTTTATTTTATCATCTTTAATTTGAGCTTTTAATGTGATTCATTACATGTTTTGTTTGCATAGGGGCTAAGTTATCTTTTGAATCATCATTTCTACCATTTTTTACAATATTTAATCTGCTTCTCTGTAGATGTAGTTCTAGTTTCCATCAATTTCAACCTTTTCCTGAACATATCCAGGGCTAAGTCTTCGATTTCTGCAAATCTTCGGGTGTTATCTAAAAATCTCCACTGTTACTTCTAATTTAGCTCAGAGTCACCAAATTCTTCTACTTTTCTCCCATTATTTTGATCTAATTCCTACAGTCCTCTATTGATTTAGCTTGGTTAGCTGGAGCTCCATTAATTTATTCACTCTGCTTCTGATTCAGTTCAATCTCCTTTGTTTCTCTCTCTTACTAGTTTTTTCCAAGTTCTCTCTCAGATCTAGCTCAATGAAACATATACTGAAATAGGAAACAGATGCCAAAACCCTTACTCCATGAACCTACAGTGGTTTCTAAGCTCTTTACCTTCATGTCTCTCTAATCATCCTAATCCCCAAGTCCATAACAGAGTCTGCAAAACTAAAGCCCTAAATCCTTGAATCTCAGCTGTTTCCAAATTGTTACCATTTACTCTGAGAACAACTCTGCAACTTCAAGATGAAGACTAAATCAACAGGGCTAGATACTCTATTATTCACTCTCCTCTCAATTGGGTTTCTCTCCAATGATCCTGTAATGGCTGATCCTGAAACCAACCTATTGAACAAAGGTTGCAGCCAATATAATGTCACAAATTCAGCTGTGTTCTTTGAGAATTTGAATGCTTCTTTCACAGAGATAAGGAACCAGCTGAGGACAAAGAGTTTCGCGACGGCGGAGCAGGTGAAGGGCTCGGACCCTGCTTACGCAATGGCCCAGTGCAGGGATTATCTCTCAACGAGTGATTGCTTGGCTTGCTTCTCAGTGGCAGAGGCTCAGATAAGGAACTGCTCATCTGCCAATGGAGCTAGGGTCATCTATGATGGGTGTTTCCTCAGGTATGTGCATGTGAATTGATGGTTTTTGGTGTGAAAAGTTTGAACTTAAAAGAGTTTCTGCAGTTTTTTTCTTCTTTTATTGCGTTCTTCCGAAACATTCGAAAGTAGTGCTGCAATTGTCTCATGAATCCTTTTTTCAAAAGTAATTTAGTGGGTTCGTCCTGCTCGAACCCTGATCGAGAGTGAAACAGAGTTCGAAAGTGGTTTAAAACTTTGGACGGTAGAGAATGAGATTAGTGGCTTTTGTACACAAATATCACAAACACCTTAATCTTGGGCATGTTATTTCTTTGTCTAATATTTGAAAAATCAAAATTAAAGCATAATCAAGGGTACGCCCCATCGTCTGATTTTATATCTTATGGCCATGGGTGCCTGTGGCTTTTTGCCTCTTTTTTTTTTTTGGAAGTAGAGGGTACATGTTCTTCCAAAGTTTTAAAGCCTGGCATATTGAACAAGGAAATAAAAAAGAGAAATCCTAACGCAGTGTAGATTCACAATTTATAAATAATTTTAACAAACTATTTATATTGGCCAAACTTGAGACAAATTTAAAAAAGCTTTAAAGTTTTAAGACCTTCCAATCCCCCGGTTCCTTTTCATTATTTTTTAACTAATTTTCCATTGCTGACCATACCAATCCATATCGATAGAAACCAACCAAGCTTCAGAAAACTCAAATAACTTTAAAAGTTGGTCCACTCTTTGTTGGCGCCTACATTAATAGCCGTCCGCGGGAAACACTTTAAAAAGGTGGGCGTAGGCGACACCACAATAAAATAAAAGGAAAAGGTCCGCAGGGCGGCCATGTTTTGTGAAGGTGCAACTGCAGACTTCGTCGGCATCATTCCGCTCCTTTGGAAGGGTATATTTTTGGGGATAGTACATGATGAGGCTATTTATCTTTGCTACAAAGTGATCACATTAAGAAAAAATTTATATAGAGTTGAAGCTCTAAACAATTAAATTAGAGCCTACCCAAAAAATTTCATTAGAAATGGTTCTTTTGATGCTCAAATATCCTCAAATGAATCATCTCGACATCAAGATGCATGGACATGAGAAGAAAAAATGGATTTTAAATTTTGGAAATAATATATTTTATAATGCATTTTTAGACCGTCAATTTTCAAGATTTTAAAGTTTTTATAGATATGTTGATCTACACTGTTTTTAAAGCTTTAAACTTTATAAGTAAAAATAAAGATATTATTTACACCATCCATTTTTAAGATTTTGAAGTGTCTGTACATTTTGCTCAATTTACACTATTTTTTGAGCTTTAGTTTTCATAATTTATTGTAGAAATAGATTTTCTAACACCAAAACTACAGTTTATTATTGGCATAAATTTGTGCCTTGATTGTTCAAGGTTGATGTGTTATATAAAAGTATTTATAGCCCGAGCTACAAAATGTGGTGACCAGCAGGATTAGGGGGGCCACCATAGCATGAGGCCCCGGCTTGGGCCACAATCACAACTGGTGCGGCCTCTTTAGGCCGATTCGGGCCTAGGTAGGGCATAACATGTTGAACTAGGCCTAAGTTGGCTGGGCCAGTTGCTAGGTACATATAGGGGTGAGAATGGGTCGAGTTAGGGTCAGCTTGACCCCGACGTAGATCTAACACAACTAGGTCTAAGTCAGACCCCGGATCCGACCCAATGGGTGGTTTGGATCCTAGTCAATAAACAAAGAATATGTCAAAATTATTATATAGATTTTATAATAGTATTATTTATATATAATTTATATGAATATATTTGGGTCGGGTTGGCCTCAACACAAACCCAACCAAACATGATATGATCTAAGCTGGACCCACACCCAGACCTAATCAGGTCAAGGTCAAATGGACCAAGACCCCAGACATAACCTGAATGGGTCAAGCAATGGTTATTTTTTATAACACACACACTCTCTCTTTCTCTCATTTATGCCTATTTATATATATTGGATAGTGATCTAATGCAACGGTTGTATCATAGTATAATGCAACTATACTTCTAAAAAACCATGGGTAATGATCTAATGCAACGGTTGTATCAAGGTATAATGCAACCATATTTCTAGCAAACCATGTTTGTGGTTTTTTTACAACCCAAAATTTTACACACGCATTCTCTTCATCTCAATAATCAACCCCTCCCCCCCCCCCCTTGGCTCCCAGTAAAAAAAAGTTCAATTTGAACCCTAGATATGGTCAAAATGAGCCTCCCTCCAACGACGAATCTAGACCATTTATTTGGTGAATTTCAAGATCTTAGCCTTTACAAACTCAATTTTTTTTTTATCTTTCTTAACATTGTTCATCTAATAATAATAAAATCATCTAGAAAAATTTGGAAACGAAGAAAGTCTTTCTAAGGCCTAGATCTAAGCATCTTATCAAAATGGACGACCGATGTTAATTGGGCTAAAAAATTACTTTATAGGTTGTGTTTTCAATTTTTTATTTTTTATGATTGTTCATTAGAATGAAAAGAGTGTATATTTTAAAAATTTGGATCAAATAAATAGCTTTAACATTGTTTTTTAAAGTTATTGCATTATACCATGATACAACCGTTGCATGAGACTGCTACCCTATATAGTACTATAAGTCACCCAACTCATGTCTCGTGAGTCCTCCCTCAAAAGTCCACTTTAGACGTGGATTTTTTATCCAAAATTTTAGGGATTCATGATCTAGATCAAGATGATCATGATTTAAATGAGCTTTTTTAGCGGATTTGTTTTACACCATTGACATATAGTTTTAGTTGGTGCCTTTTAAAGAAGGGGTAAGTTATATAGAGCCTAGGATCTAAACAATCAAATTAGAGGCAACCTCAAAATTTTTACTAGAAGATGTTGTTTTGATGCTCAAATATCATCAAATTGATCACCTTGACATCAAGATGCATGGATATGAGAAACAAATAGATTTTAAATTTTGGAAATAATCCATCTTGTAAGGCATTTTTGAACCGTCAATTTTCAAGTTTTCATAAGTCTACTCGATACCATTTTTGAAACTTTAAAATTTATAATTAGACATGAAAATATATTTTAAAGTATTACAAAAATTTTCAGTATAAAAACCATATTTTTCGACACTATTTGAAAATAGGCTCTAATTTGATTGCTTTGAGCCTTGGCTCTATACAAACCGCATCGAAGAAGAGAGTCCAGGACGCTCTTGGGTTAACTTTTCCATTATATAATAGTACCATTATATGAAAATTTTTATGTCCAAGTGTATAAAAACATAAAAATAAATAATAGTAGAATTTATGATATAATGCAGTATTATTATAGTAAAATAAATAATACATCTCAAATATTTAGGTCGAGTCAATCTAGACCCACCCAACCTTGTAAGATCCCTATTTCTAGACCCCAAACCAAGCCATCAGGTCTAGAAATGGGACCCATAGTCGGACCTAAGTCGGGCCAACCCGTCCGACTTGGTCGATCCAACCTGTTGTCCACCCCTACTGCATGAAAGTCACGCCTTTCCTTCTCTCCATCAGGTACGAGAGCAGCACTTTCTTCGACCAGGCCACCTTGCCAGGCAACGTGCCCATATGCGGTAACAAGACCTCGCTCCAACAAGCCACCTTCACCACCCTCGCCAATGACCTCCTCAGAGACCTCAGCACCGCAGCGTCCAAAATCCCAGGCTATTTTGGGGCCGTGGTTCGCAATGGCTCCGATGGTCTGGTAGCTTATGGCGTGGCTCAGTGTGCCCAAACTGTGGCCCAAGGCTCGTGCGAAAGTTGCTTAAGCGTGGCTTATACCAATATCGACGGTTGCCTTCCTGATACAGATGGGAGAGCGGTTGATGCTGGTTGTTTTATGAGATACTCGGCTAATGCCTTCTTCAATGAGAGCCAGGCCACTGATTTGACGCCATTTTTGAGCAAAGGTGAGAAGTGGGTTTTTTTTTTTTAAACAGAAACATGGGAAATGGGGTGTTTTACTTTTGCTTAGTTTTTATTGTTTTTGTTTTGGGTGGGGTTTGAATAGAGCCGAGGCTCCAAACAATCAAAGTAGAGCCCACCTTCAAATAGTGTTGAGAAATATGGTTTTGATACTGGAAATCTTTGTGATAGCCTTAAAATATATTTTTATCTCTAATTACAAAAATAATTATCATAAATATACATTAATTTTCATCTAATTGGAAAAAAAACCCTCAACTTTCATAATCCTCCTTCACATTTTTTAATTTTTTTTTCCTCAACATTTTTTGGACCAAAATAACCTTCATGGTAGTCATATTACCGTAATGTGTATTTCATTAGTCATTACGGTACTTTAAGTACCGAACTGTCCAGATTAAGCATTACGCTATTTTAAGTACCATAATAATCAGGCTAAACATTACGGTACTTTAAAGATTGTAATGCTCAATGGGTCCCTTTTTTCCTCATTTGCCACGGTCATTAAAGTGCCGTAATGCTTAGCATTGTTAATACGGTACTTAAAGTGCCGTAATGCTTAGTCTGATCATTATGATACTTATTTTTAATGCGGTAGTCATTATGGTAATACGACTATCGTAAATGCTATTTTGATAAAAAAAATTCAAAATTGAGGAAAAGAGTGTGGATGAGGTTTATGAAAGTTGAGGGTTTTTTTTTCTAATTAAGCAAAAATTAAGGTATATTTCTGATAATTTCTCAAATTTAAAGCATAAAAATTAGTATAGATCGAGTAGATCTATGAAAATTTAAAAATCTTGAGAATTGACAGTTCAAAAATGCATTACAAGATGCACTATTTCTAAAACTTGAAATCCTTTTGTTTCTCATGTCCATGCATCTTGATGTCGAGATGATCAATTTGAGGATATATAGGTATCAAAACAATCTCTTCTAGTAAAATTTTTGAGGTGCATTCTAATTTGATTGTTTAGAGCATTGGCCCGACATAAACCTTTTCTTTTTATTTTTTGGAGAGATGGGGATTTTGTACCTCTTTAGTTTTGATGTTTGTGTTTTTGGGGAGATGGGGATTCGGCGTTCCCTGCAACATAAAACCTATATACTTCACCCTATCCAACTGTCTATTTTGAATGAATGGTTGAGATGTCTTCAATCATAATGTTACATCTATACACTATTTTATTTTTAATTTTTCTCTACAAACTAGTTTGACACCAAATTTTGGGCGTCCGCTCCTCTCTCCTCTCTTTAACTCGTACCTATAAAAAATATTCCCAAAAATTTAAAATCAAAATATGCCTATAAGTTTCAAAAAGTATTTTGCCTATTATATTTAATAGAAAAATTCTTTTTAATATTTTTTTGAAGTGCATCTCATTGATGTGTTAACCGAACTAAATTTCATATTCACATAACATATATAAAAAAATTAAAAATAAAATACTCTCAAATGGCTCACTTGATCTGACTGGATGAAGGGGGAAGTATATATCTCTGTCTATCAACACACACATAAACGCGCACAAAATGAGACGTGGGGCACAAAATGAGACGTGGGGTGCCTTTAGTGTTGTCTATCATGCCTAGTTTCTTGAAATATTTGTTATTTCAGATCTATCCTTTTTCAGCCTTCTCTTTGAGTGATTTTTCTGCCAGACTCCAAAGGTTTTGGTTGAAAATCTGAGCCAATATCCTGACTAAATTACAGAAGATCTCATATTCTAGTATTTTTTCTGGAATTTAAGTATTCTTGCTAGTTCATGGTTTTCTTTTTATCACCATCTTGGTAGTTTCTAGTTAGTTTCGACGAACTTACTCCGAATTATGAATTTCACTTTTCAATGTTTTCCTTTGGACACAGTGACAGCTCTCAATTTTTGAGTCAAAATGGTTTTGATATTTCTTTTTTGAAATTCAATTGTGTTCCTTTAATTGGAATTTAAAGAGCATGCTTGGATTCAGGATCAACCTCTGCCTGATCCATGTTTGCATCTGTAGTTTAGAACGTTTAAAGAAAAGCGAACGAACCTGTTGCAGGAAGTTCAAGCAAGAAATGGATAATCGGAGTTGTCGTGGGTGCAGTAGCTGGGCTGATTTTGCTTGTATTATTAGTGTATGGTCTGCATCGATTGCGGCGGAGGAGTAGGGACACTAAGAAACGTAAGTGGCCATTGCAATGCATTGTTTCACTGATCTTTATTAAATTGCAGTTTGTGGGTCTTTTTGGTGTTAGTAAGTTGCATGCAGCTAATGTGGCTATTCATGTGGACAAGCAATGTTCATCTTTTCTCTTTTGGCTACGTTAATCAAGGATTGCTTTGAATTTTAGTTTTGGATGGTGTTTATTGCAAATCCAACAGGTCCTGGGCCATATACACATTGGAGGGGGAGTCTTCAAAAATTACGAAGGACATATACACGTTAGTCTCTTTGATTCAATCCAGGAAGAGAGAGGAGAAGAACAAGAAGAAGAAACAGAAAGACTTTTCTTTATTGATAAAATTCAAATTCGTCCTGGTATTTTTAGTCCACATACAACATCTCATTGTTGTAGAACTCCAAGCATCTAATAAAATAAAGAATTCCAATCTTCAGAACGCTTGGAAACTAAGAAAGTGATGAACTCTTTACTATAACACTAATACCCTTTACCTAATTCGTCTGTAAATTACCCAACATTTTGTAGCACATAATAAAAGGATTCTAATTCACATGTTATCATCTCCATCACTCTTTAAGACATTGTGTAGTTTCTTTTGAATTTATAATGGACAATGATATTAGTCTCGGATGATGATATCACGAAAGTGGTGGCTTTTAGCTTCCCCACAAGCTTAGTTTCATTCAAGTAGAGCTCGTTAGTCTCCCCACAAGTCTCTTAATTTTGAAATTGATCAAGATGCACTTTCTTCCTGAACTATTCTCATTTCCAGAATATGATAGGCTGGTCCCTCTGTTTCCAAATGCATCTGATATTGAGAATTATACTATTATTGTAGGGGACATACTTGGTGCCACTGAGCTTCGTGGGCCTGTGAGTTTCCATTATAAGGATCTCAAATCTGCTACTAGTAATTTCAGTGAAGTAAATAAGCTTGGAGAAGGTGGATTTGGAGATGTTTATAAGGTAATGTGACATCCAGGCAAGCGAATTATTCTGCATTATTTTTTACAATTATAATGGACAGTCTTTGCGGTCAGCTTAAAGTATGGTTTGTGACTAATATTTAGTGTTGGTTTGATGTTACTACACATATATATTAAGGGAGTTATCAGTAAGCAATTCCCTGTTATTGTAAAAACCCTAAAGCCGTTTCTGTAGATGTGTATAAAAATAGCAGCAGTTATATTGTGTTTACCTGCTACATATCAGCCCAATTTTTTGATAGAATTTGGATTGAAATTTGCATAATTCATTTTGGAATGTGGTCAAATGACATGTGCACATGGCTATTTCAGCAGAAATACTGAACTGTCTTTTAGCCTAAATTATGCAAAAACATTTTGCTCGTAAAGGTACCGCAGCTTCCTCAAGCCACATAGGATTATAGTAATTGGAAGAATTTGATTGTGTTTTATTATGTTGAAATTAGTTCGCAAAAGAAAAAAAATTACTTATTCCCTTTCCTGTCTAGTAAATCATTCATATGGATTTGCATCAGATGCATTATGCTTCTTTTGATTAACTATGACTTTTATTATTTAGTAGAAAGCAATTGTGAATTACTTCAAGTGACTTGATCCTTCTGAAGAAAAGTTATCAGTCCGGTTTTATCTCCAATACCTTCCCTTAATTTCCAACTGAAATTTCTTAGTCAAGACAGAGTATTCAGAGTATTGTTTATTTGTTTAACAATGTCCGTTGTCCTCTGGTTTCATAAAAACAATCTAAATTATTTTTTCTTTGCTTGATTCTCCCCTAAAAGAATGATCATCTTTTTTTTTAACCCCTTCTGTTGGTCGTTAGTGGAAGCTGTTTAATTTCAATATGTATCACTCTTATTCTTGTAGATGTCCAGTTAATTAGAATTAACATCTTAGATGTTCAGCTAATTTGTTGTGCTCGATGTGTGTCAATTCAATTGCTAGCAATGGGTATCAGTTTTAGCAACACAAATGGATGCATCAATCCAATACTTTGGTCACTGCTTTATCCTTTCTCCTTTATTTAGCATTTTGGCCTTCAACTCCATTTGATTCTTATTAAGTTGAGTACTATTTTTTTTAATCTATTTTGGTTCTTATTTTTTGGCCTAATTACATCCTATTTAACTTCAGATCTTTTGGCATATCATAGGGAATTTTAAAAAATGGGAAAACAGTAGCTGTGAAGAAGCTGACTATTGGGCAATCGAGTAGAGCCAAGGCAAATTTTGAGGGGGAAGTGAAGCTTATTAGCAATGTTCATCACCGTAACCTCATTAGACTGCTTGGATGTTGTGGAAAAGGCCCCAATTTCCTACTGGTCTACGAATACATGGCCAATGGGAGCCTTGATAAATACTTATTTGGTATTCTTGTCTTCTCCATCCCGAAATGCTCATATGAGTAGGAAAGTGTGTGTATGTCTCTCTGTATGTCATTTGATTTTCCTGATCCTTCTTGAGTATCCATCAATGTGTGTGCGTGTGCGTGCACCTGCATGCTTGTGTGTGTGTGTGTGTGTTTGGGAGGGAGGAGTACAAACCAGTCGTTTGAATTGTAGTTTATGATAGTTGCAAGAGTAGCTACATGATCTTGTATACTAAATTTAGCACTTTTACTACCCTATATTGATGGGGTTCTTTCACACAGGCGAGGAACATGGAAAGCTAAACTGGAAGATGCGTTTTGACATTATTGTGGGCATGGCAAGAGGTTTGGCATACCTTCATGACGAGTTCCATGTGCGTATCATACACCGGGATATAAAGTCCAGTAACATACTCCTTGACGATGATTTCCAGCCTAAACTAGCTGATTTCGGGCTTGCAAGGCTTCTTCCAGAGGACCACAGTCATCTCACTACTAGATTTGCAGGAACACTGTAAGCATAATCAATGATCCTATTGCACACACACAGAGTCGGCGTAATCGATATTACACACACACCCAGAATTGCTAACATTATATCGTAATCATTGTTAACAACTTTCAAAATGTTCAGATGTAAAATAACCCTGCCTTGCATGGCAAATCATTTAAGGGCAGTTACAATTCATATTATCTGCTGGTGGAAAATGCAAAAATGTATCGTAAAAGCATGGGTATGATACAAGCATGGGTGTTTATTGTGCTAATATCAGCCCCATTGGAGCATTTAATATCCTTACGTTGGATTTCACGGTTGTTGTATTCCATGTTATAATCCTATCCATTTGTTACAATGGAAAAGAATTTGTATTTTTATATTAGTAATTGTATGCTTTTCATTTTATCAGGGGATATACTGCTCCTGAATATGCCATCCATGGGCAGCTATCAGAGAAGGTTGACACATACAGCTTTGGTGTGGTGGTCTTGGAGATCATTAGCGGCCGGAAGAGTAATGATATAAAGCTTGAGCCCATCACTCAGTACCTCTTGGAATGGGTAATTATATCCTATTTGTGTTTACCGTATTTTTTCTTTGCATGCCAAATCAATTCCATCGCTCCATGTCCTGGGAATTGCATCTAGTCACATGGTTTAGCTTTTAGGTGGTTTGAGTGGATGCTGCAATTGGCTTTGTTGTGCATGTTGGTTTCTCTTGATATGGGACATCTATCCTTGCATCTGATGCATGGCAAGCATATCCAAATCATGGGGGGTGTTGAAATTAGAGATTTAGTTTTCATATAAGGCTGTTTGCTTGTTTATGATTAGTATAGGCGGGGTGTCTTTGTTGAAGATGGGAAGCTGTTTGGGTTTTGAGTCATGCAGTAGGTTTTGCTTTGTGTGAGGCTTGCGCTTTCATGCGTATATATTATTTGTGTAGTTTTACCCAAGGGAGGGACTGGTTTGTTCCCTTACAGAAAAATCCAACATCCTCTCTCTCTCTCTCTCTCTCTCTCTCTCTCTCTCTCTCTCTCTCTCTCGTACTACTCTCTCTCTCTACGCTACTACTACGTACTACGTTACTTACGTTAACTTCGTTACTTTGTTATTTACGTTACGTTGTTAGTT